TTCCCCAAGTCTGGTCTTCGGTTCATGAAATGTTGCAAAGCCTTTTAAATCAGGAAGTAGATGACTAAGTGTACTCCTGTAGAACCTTAGTTGCCTTTTAAAAACAGATTCCTTCACTGTCTTTTGTATCATTAATGTTGTCAAGGAACGTTCAACAGGAACCTCTTTGCCAGAGTTTAAAATGCCATACTAATTTGTCACAGGCTGAGGTTTGCTTTTTAGGGCAAGTCAATAGAGAGCGTTTCTTGGCCAAGAATGGTGTCAGGCAAAGACAATGTCTTTACACCCATCTGCTCATTCCAAACCCAAGGCCCTTCTTACACTTGATAGCACCTCTTTCCTGAAGGTGCAACCTCTCCCTGCATCCTCATCCATCCTACATACCTTTGCAGTACTTTGCGAAAGTGACCGTAACCATAAAACGGAACCCTTCAGCGAGACATCGGAACATCAAAACAGGCCTTCTCTCATAACGGATGGCAGAATTGAAGGACCATCTGAAATGCTTCTTTTTTGTTTGGGGCCAGAGTTTTATACAGTATTCACTATCACCCAAACAACTATCTTTTAGAGACCAGTCATGGGGATTCATGTTTTTTGTGTTGTTTGAAAGAAATGACTGAATACTATGCTATGCTATGCTAGCTGAGAAAATGGCAGGAGGTCTGGCTGACTGGATATATAGGAATTTGAATATCTTTAGATTTTGGCCCTTTGAAGTTTGCCCAAAAGAATCTCCATCTGCAATGATCTTATCCCATTTCAGGCAAAAACAGAGATACTGAAATGCTCTGTTATATGACTTGGTTTTGGCTGGTGAAACGACCACAATTCCAAAATCTTAACCACATGTTACATGCCCTGTGGGATCTGTTGTACTGTCGATCACCTGCCTGGGTTTCGAGGATATGGCTTGCTCTGTAATAAAAATAGAACAAAAATCTAATTAAACTGAAGAATCACATGGCTTATCAGACCAATCAGCAATTTATCTGATTTAGCCCCCACAACCTGCTAACAAATTTTTTTTTTTTTGCCATACAATCCCTTTAAGACCTAAAGACCTTTAATGTTTTACTCCTTCTCCTGTTCTTTGGCCCTGGCAATCAGATTCCATATGTTTACGATGCCCTACACAGCAAACAGCAACATAGACCAAAGTGCTAAGTTGAAATCACATAAATGAACATAAATTGTACGTATTGGGGTTTGTTTTTGGATAGAAGTATCACTTTCATTGCAGAGGTTTATAAATGAAATAAAGTCAAGGAAAGCATCTGACAAACAAAACAAACAAGTCAAAGACAAACAAAACAATAGCTTCGGTCATGGAAAGTCAAGTCCAGGATTAATTTCTCTCTGAGCATTTTTGTCAAACGCTTACATCACTCTAAACTTTCATCGCTGCTCAGAAACATCTGGCTCACAGGTTTTTCTGTCTTTTACAAGTTGAGTAATTTTATTCCACTAAACGGAAAGAGGAAGGGCCCAAATCTGCCAACACTGACTACAATTACATCAGGACACCGAGCCCTTGTTATACAACAAATCAGGGATAAACTTGCGCTGGTCACAAAGACACATGATCTAGCATTGGGCTGTCAGCTCCCTTTTTGGGGCACTGATTGGTAGATTCCCAGGAATCTAATCTTAGGAAAAACAAACTCTGTTTTCATTGTCTCCTCAACTGATCCTACAAGGGGTTGCAACCCTCCAAAGGAAGGCACAACACAAAGCTCTTCTACGCCAGCTGTATGAACAGAGTAAAATCTGTGATACGCAACAGTGCAAACGAGCTATTAATCGAGTCTCAGGTGTTTGCGTCCCCTTAGCGAACCCCCTACAGCCGACGTTTAGCTGTAATCTCCCATTATCCTAACCCCGGTCGTTTTTGGAAATTGTCTCAGGTAGCTTTCTAAGCTCTTTCTGACAGAACTCCACTGACTGACTGGGGATTCTCCTAACCCGAAAATAGCCGTGAGCAAGGAGTACAGTTAACACGCATTTAAAAGCTGAAGAGGTGAGCGGTACGTGTCACTACCGCTGCCGATAATTTCACACTAGCATAAATCATTTTGGATGCAAAACTCTGTTTTATGGGCTGAGAACATCAGAGTTACTTCTCATCTACGGTTTTGAAACCAGAATAGGCCTATATTACTATTGTTACATGTAGTTCCTACGGTTTATTTAACGAATTATTAAAGATTAAATTACCACTTAAATGGAATATATATATATATATATAATTTTATTTCCCCCCCCCCCTTAAAATCTTATTGCATAGTTTTTATTGAGGCTACTACGGATGATCCAAACGTCATCTCGTTTACAGTGACAATATAGATATCTTGTATCATGTGAAAGTATACAATGGAATGCCCCTGGTTTTGTATTGCGTGATGGGGCAGCGTGTTCGTGGTGCCCAGACCACCTTCAGGTGGTTGGAAATAACGTGCCCTGTGGTAGCCTTGTAGAGCTCCGACGATCAGCTGCGGTTTAACCACCAGCCTTATTATACAAGCACTTCGTAGATATGAATGGGTGTCACGGGGTAGCTTTTTATGAATGGCTAAGATTTCCTATCTTTATTAGAATGAGGACGGCTTCTTTCGTTGCTCCAAGGTAAAGTTAATCTGCCTCTTCGTAATCCCCCTCTCCCTCCGCATACAGCAATCCGGTGCCTTTGCCCGTGTTGAAAACAATTGGCAACTAGAACAAGGTGATCGGCTTTGCGGTCAAATAGAAGCACATGGGACGGGCAGGGCACACCTGCCCCGGTCAGCAGGCACTGTGGAGGGTCGCTTGCCTGGCTGCCACTCCGTGATATGCGCCCATCAGTACGGACATCGCGTTGTGCCGCGGATCTCCTTGTTCTCCCTTGATCCAGACCGGAGGGAAAAAAACTAACGACTCTGACTGCGCTCACTCCTCCACGTATTTCAGCTGTCAAAAACTGTTTTTTTCTTCTTTCTTCCCCCTACGGTCCTTGTTTAACACGTCCTTTGATTCTTGGTGTTTGACACACAGTTACGGTAAAAATAACGAGATAAGGGAGTATTTCATTCCGTCTGCTCTCACATGTGGTTGAGCTCAAAGGCTGAAAATTTCATGCCACACCTGTGTTTTCTTTTATACACAGAACTGTATCAGTGTTATCTTTAGTTAAAATATTAACAAAACAAAAAATCCCTATAATTATGTGTAGGTGAACACAAATGTTGAGGCCCTAAATCATTCTGGCATACAGTGACTTTAAATAATGTGCTTTTAGTGGCTGAGGTATTCACTTATAACAACAATAGGAAAACACAATCTGAGTCTAAGACTGAACCGGGGGTGATTAAAGATGCAGAAAAAGATCTCATCCAACCAAACCAGAAGGCAGCAAATTGGAGCTGGTTCAGGCTCTGCTTTGTGGTACGTTGGAATGTCTAAAAATAAAGGAAACTTTAAAAGATTACTTACATCACCCTTGACTGAACTTTCCACAGTAATTAACTAATGTGTCTCCATTTGTCTTGCTTTGACAGTGCATAATTTTTAAGGCAACCCGAGATGAGATTTTTTTTTGTTTTTTAGAAAATAGAGAACATTTTAGCGCCACCTGCTGGTAATTCTTGATACTTTACAGACAACCGTCCCCTTCCCCCACCTTCTCAACCAGAATAGGCGATCTAATGGCCAATTGCAATTTTCAAGGTACGCCGGGCGAATTGCGAATGCATGACCTCCACGTGACTTCAAGGAAATTATTTTATAAAGTTAGAGCAATACCTTTGACCAATTTGCATGTTATTGACTGCCTTAAAAGTTTTTGAAGCATAACTATATAAATGACTCAGCAGTCCATTTAACCGAACAACAACAATATCAAAAACAAAAATCCAGAGTGTCCTAGGGGACGGTAGTTGTACTTTTAATTAGAATATGCCACCATGTCTGATATAAATCAGTTCAAACAAGCCATTCACAATCCAGTCAAATCATAATTACCTTCAATCACTTTTCGAATAAATCTGTTACTCCACTAAGTAATAAACAATGTCAATGTTGGAACATGGCTAATCAAACAACCTAGTGTTGTTTCAAATGTCCAACAATCACACGACACAGATGTGCTGCTTCGTTCAATAGGAAGCCAAATTTATAATAGCACAACAGATTTGAGCTAGATGTATAGTTTCACTGAAGTTTTAGGTTTGGTAGATTCTGGGTCTCCAGTGCCCCAGCTACGCCTCCACCACATGTGTGGCCCCCACAAACCCCCACCCTTGCTGGCAAGATCCGGTAACCAGTGACCATTAGATGTATGTCTCCGGCTAATGGCTAGTAGGTTGGACAGCAGACTGAAACAGCATTGCTCTTGCGGATGTGTTAACATGGAAAACACTAAATGGAGCCTGGAAGTTTATTTTAAGATTACCGCTACATATACATGCAGAAAAAGATTGGACAGATAGCCAGAATTCATCACCAACTGTCATTATCCACGGTAGGGATTTGAAATATCTTTCACCGTTGTGTTTTAAAAATCACACCAAATCTGGTCATCGACCTTGTGGAGAGTGAGGCAGGTCACATGGCGAAAGCATAACCTAGACTCAACCATTTCTTAGCAGCGAGCTGTGTTTGTCCAAAACCTCTTATGGGCTACTCTGTAACTGGACATGTCTGATGGTGTATTGGCCAGCAGAGCTAATGAGCAGGACCGCCATTACGCTTTGTGATGATTGGATTGGGACTAGCCTGAGAAAGGCTAGCGTGGCCCTCTTCTAATGAATGGCGCTTGTTTGTGAAAAACAAATGAGAAACAAGAGATGAAGGAAAGTGAAATATATATATAGAGAGAGAGAGAGAGACGGAGCAACCAGCTGGATTGCCATGTAAATAGTTGTGAAGATAGGTAGGGAAGGCATTCTGCCAAGGGTTTTACAAAGGCTTCCCAACATCTGCTGGAGGGTAGATTCCTGGTCTGTGTTGTACAAAGAATAACTCACTCTCTCCCGATGAGCTGTTTTCCTACTCGCTGGGTTCATAATCACGCATACACCATCATCAGAGATGAACTGGCGAGTCCTTGGAGAAACAAGGGCAGTAGTGTTGTACCACAGCAAACCATTTAATACGAAGGGTAAACACTTGTTCATGTGCAATGTCTACTGTGAAATACGTCGAGAGCTTAACGCAGAATAACAGATGTTACATAATTGAGAAATGCCTGTCGTGTTTTTTCCTGAGAACACTCACCGCTGGCAGTTTTGTACCATTGTGCAATAAATTTTCCAGCCTAACCATGACCCTGATGAATCTTCAGCATTTCTTGGATGTATGGAAAATTGTTACAGTTTCAAGATGAAGCACATGTTTTATCGTAATGAAACACCTCAATTTATAATCTGTAAATTATAATATTCAGTAAAATGTGAGGTAACTGGCTTTCAGGTTAAAGGTCTTTTCTCCTAAAACTGTGAATGATTTCAATATAATTGCTTTATACATGTTTTACTTTCCTTTCTACAGGTGCACAAAAACGTTGATAAAATAAAACATTAATCTTCTTATGTGCGGTTTGGGATTTTAAAAAATTCAGGCTTTAAATACTTGGGGTAAAATTTGATCAGCCATTTCAGGAAACATGAACCACAAGCAATAACTGAAGTAATTAATTTAGAAACCACACTTATGTAAAGCCAAGCAGGAAGGTATTAGCCGGGCAGACTTTTGTCGAAAGATATGTGGTTTTTGATGTGTGTGACTATTCATTACGTTTTTAAAACACAGGTGATATTTTCCACACAAAAATTTATTATAATATCTTTATAGGGTTGATGACCTCAAAGCAGAACACAATCTCTGTTAGTCTGTGTTCAGCGCAAAACAAACAAATAAATTTGTACTATACCTTTACAGTGGACTGCCAAGGGGAGAGGGTGGTTGGAATGTTATACCATTACCTAAATTCGCATGCATCTGTCGGCATTCTCGCTCACACTGCTCCGCGTGCAGCACGCCCTTGAACCGGGCCGGGAGACCACCTGCGTGAAAAGGGAGAAATGGAGTGTTATGTCTCCGCAGCGGAATAAAATAACACGAAATCCAGCTCTGCAAATAGCTCAGAGAGGAGATCATTTTCCGCCGCGCGGCTTGACAAAAGGTAAAATAAGAGCAGATGATATCATTCTGGGGGAGATGGAATTTTCTCCAAAGGCACAGCATGCTCGCTCTTGGGCGGCGAGGCTCTTTAGCGACCAAGCCGAGGCCTCTCTCCACCCCGGCCGCTGCCCAGGCCGCTCACACGCGGACTTGGTGACAGGGGGTGTCATCATGCCGACGGATCACCCACTTTCTCAATGGAAACCTCTCCCATTATTCATCGAACTGCATCTACTTGTTCCTGCTCCCTCTCCATCTCTCAACACCCTCAAAAAGAAAAAGAAAAAACTGTGTAGGAAGGAGATGAAGAGCAGAGATGAACCTAAACATTCTGGAAAACAGTTCAGGCTGCTCAAGCTTTCATGTACCCTTTTAAAATACTGTGGCTCTTTTTTAAGGAAGAGCAAAAAATGGCATCATTCATAAAACACTTGTGAAATAAAAGAGGTTAATTTTTCTAGCTCATTAGTATTGAAGTTGACCTAGACCATCCGCATGACACCAGCTCAAAAAACATGCTGGAATCACAATCTACACAAATCCGAACAGACTCTGCGTCTCAGATATTTTAAGAGCATGTTAAGATTAAATTGACCTGAAGCTCTGTTCTCGGGGTCATTATCTTCATCACATAACCTACAACCAGAGGTTCTCACCATATGGGAATATTTTCTACTCTGAGATTTTCTCTCTGCAGCCATAAATCCACCTTGTCAACTATAAAATTTTGCTGACCAGCAACAGATGTAGCTATGAGGGGGGGGGGGGGGGGAATCAAAATTGAAATTTTACCACCACTAAATTTTCACGGCTGACACGGAACATACAGCTCATGGATCTCACAACTGTTGTTCTGTATCAAGCTGTCATTAACAGATGGGCAAAGGTCACCGTGCCTGAAGGTGCGTTTAGACACTTTTTGGAGATGTTCTGGTTCGTTCCATGCACCGTAGGACACTGCGGCAAACCTATCGCATGCTGCCGTACTCAAACTCCACGCTCACGGGCCTCTTGGTTACAAGATGGCCACCTGTTGTCTGCAGATTCCTCCAGGTCACCCAGGACCATCCAGGCCCAGTGTTTTAGCAGAAGCAGCTCCCTGCTTCAAGCATCCATAGGACAGACAAGAGACTGAGTGTCATAAAAATCTGTGTAATATTAGTAGAGTCTGAGTTACTATGTCTGAGATATTACTTTTAATTTTTGCAAGTGAACCTACACTGTAATTGGTTTACACTTGGGGTGTTAAAGGGAAATCCATTTAGTGACCTTTAAAATAAATAAATAAAAATACACAAACAAACAAAAAATGAATGAATGAAAGAAAAAGCATTTTTAAAATCAATAGTGGTCCATAGCCCTTAATGCTTCGCACCCGTAGTTATAACAGGAATACACCAAGCAGCGTTTAATCCTGCAAACTGTATGTCCAACACACCTCCCCTCCACCCACAAAAAAGTACCATTACAATAGTAATTTTTTTATACTTAATTTCATCGTGGTTTCTCCTCCCTGACCTCGGTTGCAGTCAGTGGGAAAATTTCTGCGATTGCTGCGCCGCTGCGGATGACCTTAATATCTCAGGGGGGTCTTTCTATACGTTCCTGGAGTTTTTCGGTAATGCATCTGCTTGATTTGCTGCGGCGGCCAAGAGAGAGCTTCATATTCCACCGAGAATACGTTTGAGGCATGTTACTGCTCATCATGTATGGTGTACGTATAATTTTGCATTGTGTGTGCATAATTTTAAAGGGGTGGAAATGTATTCGGGGGGTTGACAATTTTTTTAACAAAAAAAAAGCAAATAACATGTCTAATTCTTCTAACCCGCACGGCGTGCAATATTCCTTTTGATTCAGAGAATATTCATTAGTCCTTGATGTGTTGCTCGAACATATATATTAGTAATTACTTTGGAGCGTGCCTTTCTTTTACCTTTATTAATAGTAGACACCAAAGGCGGGAAAAAAACAGCCAATCCGTTTTATGCCACTTTTGTGCAAGTCCAGTCCCGTTTCACAGCTCTCAGAAAAAAAAGTCAAATCATAAAACAGAGCTATTATTTATTGTTCGAGATATTGCTGTTTATAATACCTTTGATGTCTTTCTCTGAGGGGGGTGTCACAGCTCAATGAATTTTCTCAAGATATCAAATGTTTGACATTCTCTGTCCACGGAGAACATTATCCTCTGAAGACGACAAGGGGGCTCAGAAAAGAGCAAGCTATAAGCTATACTGAATCTATTAATCGCCTATCTTCTGAAGGAAGCCACAAATCTGCTATCTAGAAAGCTTTTTTGTTTTCATAAAAGAGACAACACGCTTATGCTGGGAAGATCGAAAGTTTTTCTTCCTGGAGTCTGGGAGCAAACCGTCTCTGACTATTTACGAGGTAACCATAGTACATCGTAAAGGAAATATCATCATATCATAAGCAAACAAAATTTGTAAACCTTTTTTCTGCCGCTGGGCTTAACGTTTTTATTGTTTGTGATAGTCTATGAATTTATTGCGGTGATCAACAAATAACACGTCAGCAGTCCAATAGGACCTAATACACGCACAGACGCATAAATAAGCGGTGACATTGGACTCCAGAAATTTTTAATGAATTTCTGCAGTTGCTGTTCGTTATCCCATGGCATCTGGGTATTTTCAATATCGGTCAGCTTTAATGCGGTACGTCATCAGCTTCTTCCCCTCTTTTTTTCCCCCTCCCAATTTCATGTAAGGCTGCCGAAACAGCTGGTTTCGAAGCTATACCACTACCGCCGAGGGAGCAGGCTGGGAAGCACCTGCTTCCAGCGAGGAGGTGGAGAAACAGCTTTCATTTAAACCTCAAAAGGCAGCTTCTCCCGTTACTCGTAAGGCGCGCTTGTACGGCGAGTTACCCCAGTATCCGGATGAACAGCCAGACCGGTGTCTCCGTTGCAGTTTAGGGCTACCGGAGGGGCTACTTTCCTCCTTCTTACTGTCAAAGAAAAACTGATGGGTGATAGAGCCGTGGTGCGATGGTTAGCCAGCAGGACGACAGATAAGATCAAAAATAGGCAACTAAGTGAAATAAGTGGGTGTCACACGGAGAGAGACAAAGGATTTTACCCAGACATGTAGTCAGCCGCGGCTTGGCATCAGGCTGCGCTAAAGTTTTATGCAGTGTGCTTTTTAACATGTTTACAGGAATTCTGTAGAGGGGAATTATGCCTTTGGTTGCATGGTTTAGGTAGCAGCCAAAAAAAATCTGCAGCCAAGAGTAGCTATGCTTCATTTGCGGAGTGCAATGTGTAGATTTCGTCTGAAGGCTCACTTCATTGTTCATAACTTAGCAGCAGTGACAGAAATAACAGGGATCATAAGAGTAACGGAATCGGCGGCAGCATCAAAAACAAAAACGGAGGCGAGAAAGCCCCACATTTTTCTTCGGCAAGCAAACTTATGTGCGTAAAGTGGAGATGCCAGCCAGGCGTGGCTTGTATTTGAATATCCAATATGTGAATGCTCGGGGAGTATGTATATAAACGCCGCTTTCCAGTTGATAAACAGACATTTGCACGCTGATGAATAGCAAAGGATGGTTTATGAAAGGCTTGTCAAGCATTCATTCTAAGAAGGGCGAAGCGCAACTTGCCGGATACGTTTCGATCCGCGGCGACTGCATGGGTTTCTTTTACGGCGAACTTTAATCTCCTTGTCGACTTTACTTCTAATTGGGCAAACAGATCGCTCCAGCTTTACGCCATGGCAGAAGTCGGCGGCTTTCTTGGGGTGCTCGATCTGGATTTACAAGGGTTTCCAGCGCTCGGGAATATGCCTTTACCGGAATCGCCCGTGGGCTTGAATGAGAGATTGGGACAGATTGAAGGGAGGCTACAGCGCGGCTCCTTGACGGATTTTGGCCACCTGCAAGGCATTTTGCGACGACGGCAGCTGTACTGTCGGACGGGTTTTCACCTGGAGATATTTCCCAATGGGACAGTTCACGGGACCAGACAAGATCACAGTCGATTCGGTGAGGAAGCAGGATTCACCTGATCTTTACCGTATGATGACTTGGTAGATTTATAATAAATATAATTTTCAAAGATTTTGATAGCCTTCATGCTTTCCATCCAAAATTACAGTTTTGCTATCAACTTCAACGTCATGGATTTAAAAACGCATTTGGGATTGTTAGGTATGCACTGAACATGCCGGTAGTTTGCGTCTGATCATCCCTCGTACTATTTTCCCTAGATTAAATCCCCAGTCAGCTAAACTGGCAAGAAACGCAGGTCTTTCCCATAGTATATAATTTATTATAAGAGCGCCGTGCCACGTTTGTAATACATGTATCTAAAGGACTAAACAGAACTTGGACTTACATAAAATAGAAATTATTCTGTTGATACAGTTAGACTATAGACCGCGAATGATAAACAGATGAGGTCCGGACTCAGATATGTCCATTTTCGTTTTTTGGAACTGCAGTCATCCTGCAGGTGCAGGTTTGCTTAGAAGAGCGAAATACCTCCTTAATTAAAGCATAATCATTGCGGAATTTCGGGAAGGTTACTGCCTGCCTTTCCTTCCAAAACAAACAAGTCAGCTGGATTAGGTGGTCCCTGCTTTTTTTGTCATCACAAAAGTCTATTTGCGACGGCTTTGTCAGTTACAGTACCCCGAGGCGTGGGTAACGTGTCTTTAATTAAGGCGCAATGTAAAACACGCTCTTCCAGCGGCGAGGCGTTTGAACGGTTCCTGGCGTTTTGCCGTCAAGATCACAGCTGCAAACCGCGACTGATCGAAGAAGCAGCGTCGGAAAACACCGTTCCTCCGTTTGTCTTATTTTTAAGTGAACACCCGGATTTTTTAAGTAATGGTAGGCTGTGTCTTCATTTGTCACAGACGGACCAGGCTCTCATCAAGAGTCGTACTTTTTCACTATGATCACGCACTAGACATATGTAGCCGATATTGATTCACGAAATAGGATGAAATGTAGATAACGTGGTTTAAAAATCCGATAAAAAGCACAATTTAATTTAAAGAACAAAACTCCATTACAACCATTGTCTCTTTTTCATTCATAATTTCTGTGATGACTGATAACAGTTTTAGTGACGTTTCCGGTAAAGTAGATCGGCGTGGATTCCTAGTACAAATAGGTTAAATCCAGCAGCAATTTATTATTAATATAGCTTCATTCTGCCGTTTTAGTTGTTGAAATTATTAAAATAAAGTTCTTAGGCATTTTGGTGCCCCATAAGTAGCTTGTCCACTGCATGATCAAAGAGGTCCCAATGAATACGTGTTTCCATCTGGCACCACTTTATAGGGTGCAGATCAGCCGTTAATTTTAAGTACTACAGCTGTCTTGTTTGGGATTATGTGCAGGATCTGCTTGAGTTATCTGTCCCCAGCCAACATAGTGGAGGAATTGTCTACAGATCACATATCCGTTCCACGCCTGTCCACAGACACGCCACTATACCCAGAGAAGTTAGGTGATGCGACGCTCCAGCAGACATCTCGGTCCTGGGGCATCGTGGAAATGGTGGAATTTTACGACACCATCTCAGCATTGCCAGGATAAATCCATTCCAGGACTGTGGAGAAAGACCTGTCCATGGTGCTATCCCATCTCATCTGGGCCACCCTCTCCAACTTCACCCATCAATCATAATAATCCAGAACAAACTCCAAAGCTTGAGGTTTTCCATGTCACATGCTACGTACCTCCCACCTTAGGCTAATGCACGCAGCCCTGTGGATGCTGTGAACACGAGGACACCATCGCCCGCACTTTTCACTCTTAGGCGGCTCCTTGCGAGCACGAGAGGGGTGACTGTGGGAAAACTGCGGTCACCAGATTATCTCATTCTGGACCAGTGGTATCGCACGATCACTTCCTCCATTTGCAGTGAGTGAGTCATCTCTCGGTATCTGCCGGCGCACAGTGCCGTCGCACGTTCAGGCCACTCACCCGCCAGTTCCTCTGTTATTTGGACATTGTTCATAGCTTATACAAATAAACCTGTTCACTGTTTGTGGAAAATATCTGCTGGAGCTTAAGCAGTGAGCAGAAAGTCTCTGCTACCAGATTGATTGGGCGTAACGCTACATGGCACAGGGTATGCCCGTGGAAACATAAAACAGCCTCGCTTTTAAAAGGATGTAGCATTCAGAATCGGAATTATAAACATGCTAGTGGTCACTTATAGCTATGACACACAAAACACATGGAAAAAATAAATGTCCCAGGAGATTAAACTTTGAAGTCCAATTCCCTTTTCCAGAATTTTTGTTCCGTATCCTGTCCTATCATATTTGTGATATGCTGTTTACGACAGACGCCCAACAATTTAATCTGATGTTGCAATCATAAAAGTAAATTCAGTATTTTGTTCGCTCAGATCTTGACATAGAGCTTTCAGTACAAATGGTTGTTCATTTTGATTGGGGAGCATTTATTGCGATATTAAATGCTTCCAGTGTAAAATATCGTAAAGCTTTTTCCCGAAGTGTTGCGTTAGTCTCTTGTATCATGCTTGATTGCATCAGACCTACAGCCTAGATCTTGTGTTTCTGCTGTACTCCACATGTCGTGCAAAATCCGCCTGACCAAAAGAGAGAAGTAGGAAGGCCTGGAAGATGGGCTGCTCTGGAAATGATTACAGACTTAGAGTCTTTCGAGGTTGGAGTGTATTGGGGAACTGACTCGCTATGATTTACCTTCAGGTATCCTTGAGTTCATAAGCCTGGCAGTGGGACTGGTCAGCATCCGAGGGGTGGATGCTGGAGTCTACCTGGGCATGAACGAGAGGGGTGAACTCTATGGGTCGGTAAGTCAAACTCCATTCACTCATTCCACCAACAGCATGGGAGGCCTTTGTACTCACCATCGGCGTGATACCGTGGGCTGGGAAAGAACAGCAGTACTGGGACCACAGTGATATTTTTAAGGACTTGACCTATGCAGCCTCAAATGTCAGTATTATTTGAAGTTTATTGCAGGCTCCTTGTAAGGGAAAAAATAGTTGTGTTCAACTTGGCAATTAAAGAACTGTTGTCTTTATCGAGGTTCCGGGCTAGTAATCCATTCCTTCCATCCTGCTCAGTGTCAGTCACAAAACAAACGAGGTATCCATCAAAATGTTGCCTATCAATAAATATGAAATGTTTAGATTAACCAGTGTTTGTTTTCCAAACTGTTTCAACACAAGGTATACTGCTCAGAATGAATCTTAAATCTCAAAATGCCCAGAGTCCATGAGGTCCCTGTGTTAGGTAGCAAGCTCTTCAGGTTGTTTTTGTTAAAAAATATTTACATATTTTCCCAGTACACACAGGAAACAGACTGGGGGGGGGGGTGCTTGAGCTGTGCCTTCACTAGAACATCGTCAGATGCGAGATACGGGGAAGTAGGAACCCAATGTGCTCAGGCCAGATTAAAAGGACCAGTGAGACGACCTAATCATGGAAGAGACAATGAAACGGAACACGACTGTTTCCTTCCTGCTCATCCGCATCCCTTAGGCTGTCATCCACGTGTCCAGCAGGTCAACGATAGACCAAGAATCTGTTACATCCGACTGCAGTGAACAGATAAAGATAACAACTGGACACATGAGACTTATATCTGGGTCATTTGTCACATGATGCGTAATGTACTTGGTTCACCACAAAACACGGCTGCCCCCACCTGCAGCCTGCAGAGCCCATCAGCCCATTTGCGTTCATGTTCAAGGGGTCATCGTGAATGGAACCCACACTGAGAATAAGCACACTGTTCTAAAAACGGTACCAGAGAAGAGATCTTGCCATTCGGTGGTAATGCAGCAGTGTTAGCGAAATTCAGCAGCATCCGACCTCTTGTAACAACGAGGTATGCATTTCCCGTTTTCAGACACCTTTAAGGTGCAGCTACCTAGAAGCTTGAGAGGAGTACAACTGAGAAGACTGCAGTGTGCAACCTACTGGGATAGAATGTACACTATCGGTCCAGTGGCGCCACAGCTTATTCCCGCGGAGCTGTGACTTTGCCGGGCCACGGGGAGGCGGGTTAGGACCGGGCTCTGTGAATGGGTCAGGTGGGGGTAAGTCGGGTCCCTGCACCTCCCCTTTCCAATGAGGATAGAAAGGTTAAGAGTCAGAGAGTGATACCGCATATCGGTTGAAAGCCGGCAGTAATTGCTTTCCCCTTTGCCTCGGCGTTCCCGCAGATGTCTGGCAGGCGGCACGAGATCCTTTCCGCTGCTGCTTTTTTACCACGCCGGTGCACACTTCAGGCCGTGGGACCGGAATCCCTCTGAAACACACACTCGTTCCCTTCGGCCGTCTATGGGCCTGATTGAGACATATCGTTTGTTCCTGTTGATCTGTTCAGTCCCCCTCCCAAAATCAAGCATGGGAATTGTTTCCCGTTGCCCTCGATAGCCCCTTTCTAGGGTCAGCACCGGTTCACTTCCTTTCATCGCTGTGCTCAGGTTTACCCCTCTACCGCTGGAATGGACCTCTACAAAGCACGTCGGAGTCGGCCTAAGCGTTGCCTGGTTCTGGGCTGAAAATTGGATTATTTCCGTGACTGTAAAGTATTCCGAACAGATCGGAGGACATTGAAGGAGGTGGAGGTTAAACTACCCACCCCCACCACCCCACTCCCGAGTGTCACATGCAGTTCCGTGTCTCAGCTTTGGGTAACGGTCCACAGATGTCGCGATGGCGAAGACCTTCGGAGTGCATTTCTAGCGGGGTAATCAAAGTGGCCCGTGTTTTCATACTGCCTGATGTTCTGTAAACACGTCGCCAATTTATGAGCTGCAGCATGTTAGTGGTTAGGGGAAGACAGGGCCTTTTCCTCGGTCATATTGATTACATTATACCGAATGGGGGGAAGCTGTGAAAAGCCAGAGCAGCTTAGCAATGTGTCATGCAAGCTTTAGCCTCCTACACGGCCACGTTTCACTCAGCACAACATACTCAAACGGGAATTAATTAATTAGCCTTCCAGGGATACAACATAACTGTGTAATACTTGATCATGATTTTAGACAATTTAGAGTCAGAGATGAGGCTGATGTTTGTTGAATTGGATGGGACTCATCTATGGGCACTTAGGAAGGCCATTGAGATGCTCATACTACAGCCTTCCTCAGTCCAGCTTCTCCTGTCTCTTGTCACTGTCTAACTGGCTCCTCTGTCACCTCTATCGCAGAAGAAGCTGACTGCAGAGTGTGTCTTCCGGGAGCAGTTCGAAGAGAACTGGTACAACACCTACGCCTCCACGTTGTACAAGCACACGGACACCGGCCGCTACTATTACGTGGCTCTGAACAAGGACGGCTCACCCAGGGAGGGGGGCAGGACTAAAAAACACCAGAAGCTCACCCATTTCCTGCCACGGCCTGTGGAGCTCAAGAAAATACCCCAGGCTTATAGAGACCTGTTCCAGTACAGGTGATGAGGGCCCCTGCTCTGGGAAGAGGACTTGGGGGAGGGGGGGGCACGGACAAGGGGGACTCAGGATATTCTCCCATTGCTCCTCACCTGGCGGTGTTTATGTTTGTATTCTGGTCCTAACGACATGCACTCACTAGCAGTTCCTGATATAAACATTGCGTGTTGGTGTTCCAGGATGTATCCGCTTCATTTTTTATTTTTTCCTTAACTGCTTCAAGCTACAGAGGGAGAAGGACACCCTTTTAAGTCGCAGACGCCAGCTGAAGTCCCAGGAGCATTAGCGACGATCTTTTGGCTGTGGAACCGTTTTCAGTGCAAACTGAGCTAACAGCTGAACTGACTGGATCAGCTGTTGTGAATCTATTCCGGGGGCTCGCCGTTCTCTGAGGATGAGGGATCGCACTGGAGAACGGGTCCGAGAACCCAAGGCCGGCTCCTCAGAGTGTCCTATCCCGTCGGCCAACCCCAGGCTACAGGTGTTTGACTCTGGACTCCCACGTCATGCAGCGGTCAGTGACTCGGATGCAGTCCGCCGGAACCCACTCAGAAGTGCCTTTGGCGTTCGCGACCACGTCCTTCCGCTTCTTACTAATCCACAAGCACTGAAATCTTTGTGAAGGTGGATTTCGGGCCTCACCATTAACCGGCATCGCGAAGCATGAGGGACCTCGCACTTAGCTTCCCGATTGTACGCTGCACAAAAGATGCACGACTCCGGTTTGGCCGACGAGGGATCAAAACAGCTTCCTAGTTACCGCATGCCCCCCCTGCAGCTTCATTTACAAGTGCAACGAAATTAGCTCGACCTGAAAGATGAAAGGCAGCCCTCCCTGTTTTCTGAACTGGCGAACGACAATCAACAGTTACTCATGAGCAGTAAGGGGGGGTGGGGGGAGCAGTGGTTTACGGGAGGCAGCGAGCAAAAAATTGGATAGTGCGCATGAAAAGACGGGGGGGAAAAAAACGGGAGTGCTTAAGAAGGAAAACAAAGTGCGAGTTAACCGGGCCGCTTCCCAGGGCATTGGCCCAGAGTGACGAATGAGCAATCTGCACTCTGAGACAGTGGAAGATTGATGAACACTTAACAGCAAGCCCTCAAAATTAAGGATCATCTCTCTGAACTTCCTGGGGGGGGTCTGTTCATCACAGTGAAAACTAATAGCAAACATATTATCACCGTGGGGGGGGTGGGGGCAGAATGCTGCTGGAAATAGGCTTCGGACTTTGTTACTCCAATCACAGCCAGGGTTATGGTGTTCTCAGAATGCTTGTTATGTTGGTGTGTGAACTGCAAGAGATTTACAGTGTTCATGCTGTCAGAAACACTATTAAAACCTTAACAATGGCAGTGTAAATATGGATGAGCCTATTTATAAGATGTACAATATATTTATTTTCTACGTACAAATATATATATATATATATTTATTTATTGCAAAGATTTTATTTTGTAATGAACTTGAGAAGTTAACAATTGTAGGTTCTACTGAAAAACAAAAAAAAAACAACAAAAAAGAGCAGAATTCACCTGACAATAAAATTGTCTCACTATTTAATCTTCATTTTGAGTGACCGTTTTGCTTGGAAAGATAATAATAAATCCTCCATTACTAATTAAAACCTGCTTTTTGAGAAAACATGAGTGGCTTGTTTGGGTCTGGGCAGCTATACGGTTAGTTGCTGTGATACGTGTGACAGGGACACCTCCCTAATGTGAAGCCTTGACCGTTTGGCCAAGAAAAAGAAGTGGAAAACAAACTTCAGTTTGTGATAAATAAGTTAAATCGACATCACACTGAGGCATATTGTACACATTAAGGGCTCTCAGTATTAGCCCTGGTACACGGTTTTCAAATACTGGTCATCACTCTAACCAGTAACAGGTGTAAAGTCACTCTGCAGCAGAAAATAATTTAACTGAACGCAACATTCCCATACCAGGGATCAAAGTCTAACTGAGAGAAGTCAGTTTCCTCTGCCTTGAATCGGAATTCCAGAGCACCAGTGCTGCAAACTCAAAGTGATCCATCTCTCCCGAGATCTGGACGTTTGCTCATGATGTAAAGAGACGGCTCTTGGCACGCGCCCCCCCTTCTCATCGCAGGAGGAATAAATCACGTCTCTGGCGCAGGGGAAGAGGGGGACAGGGGCGGTCAGGCCGGTGGCATAGGCGGCCTCAAGCCCTCCCAACCACTGTGTTCCCACCTCCGCCGTAACGTGGACAGTGAACGACAAAAACACGCGTGGGGACCGGTGACACCAACTCACTTTGCTCTCCTCAACCTTGTTCTTTCGACCCGTGCAGCCATTTGAAATTCGCCTCGAATGCGACTTTCCTGATGGGGAACATCAGGGCAAACTGGGAAAAGGGTTCAGAGCTGGGAACGTCATCCCCCCCCCATACGTGCCGATGAATTGCATGAGTGGCAGCAGAGATGGTGGACTGCGGCACCTCTCTCAAGCACGGGGAATTGGGGGGGGGGGTCCAAATTTGGACTAGCAGCAGTAATCTGGGCCTGAGAAAGGAGATGGATCAACATTTCAACATCTGCAATAGTTGTAATGTTTCTGTACTGGCAGATTCTTGCAAGCTGTGAAGGCGAAGCTCCCGAGAGGGAGACTGAAAAGCGAAAGACAGGGCAGAGAAGAAAAAAATGATATTTTATATATAAAGACCTGGCAGCTCCAGAAATGAAAATAATACAGAGAACACAAAAAAGGTGATGGTGGAGGAGGGGGAGTGGATAGATGTGAATGGTGTGAAAACTGAATGGTGTCCAGAGTCGGTCCATCTGGGCACGGTGCTCACGGGGCCAACATAAAAGCGCCACGGCTCCAGGACCCTGACCGGTTGTGCAGGAGACGGGACGGCTGGGTCCGACCGGCTGGATCCCCTTCGAGGTGCATGTTGCTTGCTGAAGTCTCACACAGACATATTTCAGACTGACGAGACTCAAATGTCGATAAATAAAACACTTTTTAGGTACACGTGCCACCCTAATCACGAGTGTTACAGTCGCGTGCCGCAATACGACGTTTCCGTCAGTGAAGGACTGCATACAGCACGGCAGCTCCAGGAGATAACAGCTGAAAAATTCCCATCGCCTAGCGACATAACCGTTGTAACACGACGCATTTCTCACATTTTTGTGATGATGCTGGTGTAAACAAACCTACTGTACTGCTAGTTGTATAAAAGTATAGCACGTACAATTAGATACAGTATGTATATCTTGAAAACTATTACTGGTTTATATATTTCCTATACATTTTATCGCTATTTAAGCTATACCATAGGTGCTATAGCACAGGTGTGTAGTCGACTATACAGTCTCAGTACTCGGATGTTTCCACAACGTCAAATCACCTAATGATGCATCCCAGAATGCATCCCGGTCTTTAAGCGACGCATGACTGTATGAGACTTCACATTCATTTCCAAGTGTTTTACAAAGTACTGTTGAGCACATCAATAGCTCTCCTAAAGGCATAACGGACAAAACCAGTAAAAGGTAAGGATCTGGTAGCGCGTGTCTCGCGCACAAAGGCTCGACACACAGAAAGACGCGTCAGGAATACGAGAAAAACACCCTTTTGGTCACTTTATTAAATGTAATATTAAATACTTATCTAGTAAATAGCAGATCAGATTAATGGCAAAACAAGGAGGTGTATTCACTAACATGAGAACATCCTCGAGGGATTAAAAAGTTCCTCTATATTACTGAAATACACCTTGTGCAATTTGAAGATGACAGTCTCCGATAAGAGAATTTAGTTCCTTGTCATGACATCTATAACGCGTTAGCATCAGAAGCGAGAAATGTGCCGAAGTAGAACACAACACAAGTGGAACGAAAAAAAACAAAAGGGAAAAAAAAAAAAAGTGAACTGTACCCACAGTACTATGCTAGGCAACACTTTACAACAAGAACTTGAGGTTACAAAAGTCCAGAGAATCCAGCAAGCAGATTTGGACGACACAGGCATTCCATACCATGATCAGCGACATCTAGCGTAACTGCTTCGAAGCGTAATACAAAACGAAAAGGTAATAAAAAAAAAAGATAGCTGATGCATCTTAAAATTCATTTAACAAGTTGCGCAGGAACTTGACGTAAGGCCATAACGTTCGTTTGAGTATTCCTCTCCGGTGTTGCCTCCCGATTCTCCTAGAGAACCAGGTGTCTTCATAGCTGTCCGTCGCAGAGATGGGTGAAGGAACCTACTTGGGGGATAGTGTCTTTGCCTCGAGAGGGCAGGTGCTTCTATATCACAGAAGTGTGTCACAAGCAATACTATGGTCCCACTTACGTGTTAGGCTTTTATATTAGGCTTTCATGTAACATATAAAAACACTTTAAATAATTAACAGCCCTCCTTTAAGGGGGAAAAGGAATCGTGAGGAAAAGAATGATGCAATGCTTAAGAGCATTTGTGGGGAATTTTTTTTTTTTTTTAAATACCTGGTAAAATGGAAAAAAAAAAGTTGAACAACATTAAGGATATATATATACACGCACACACACACACGCACGTTTTCATACCCCTTCAAATTGTCCGTAGACATTTTGCATACTTCTCTCAGGGTTAAAATTTGTTTTAAATCACACTGTCCAGAAATGTTCAGGGTGGAACCCTTGGCAGAGTGGAGAGAGTATGCCGACTGGGGGGGTGGGTTTTGGGTGCTTTTGAGTCAGCTAGTTGCCCTTGGAGGGGCCGGGGTTTTTGTTCAGCTGGGTGGTGGTGGAGGGCACACTCTGCAGGGCGTGAGACAGCTGGCTGCCCAATTGCTGGTAAAGCCCCAGGAGTTCCATCTGGCTCAGTCCCCCCGGACCGATCATGCCGTTCTGCAAGGCCAGCTGGCTCAGGAGGTTGGCCCGGTTCGCCATGGCGATCTGCTGCTCCTGCATCTTCCTGTTGGTGATCACCTTCTGCACGTACATCATCAGCTGCGGGGAGGAGAAGATGGGGAGTCAGGGGACACGTGTGACGGACCGGCAGGAAAGGCCCCGGAGCCCAGCTTCCGGCCGGCCGGCTCACCGTCTGCTGCTTGTTGAGCACGTCGCGGTACACGGCCTCCCGTCGCTTCAGCTCCAGCTCCAGGCTCGCCTGATGCCCGAGGGCCATGGACTGCACCTGTGCCTCCGTCAGGCTGCGGTTCTCCACGCGCTGTAAAGGCAAGCGAGCGCCCGTCACACCTGCGATCGCTCCCTCCCGCCAGTTCCAGGAAATCCTAAACACAGCCCGGCCGCTCCGCGTCACTCCCCAGGACACTCACCAGCCGCTGCATGGTTTCATCCAGGGACTCCCTAGGCAGGGACTTGAGTGCGTTAGTGGCCTCGATCACCTTCTGCCTCCCCTGGTTAACAAGATCCTGTCACCAGGAAAACAAGCATGTGAAAACAGGCAGCAGCACAGCAGAGCGCCGTGCCGGATCGTCGCCGTTATAAATATCGACGGGCGCTGTTCGCCCCGAGCCCCAAGGGCAGACGACTCGCGGGAAGCTCCACAGACCTCCAGCTGTTGGTTGGTCATGGTGGCCAGAGCAGCCACGTTGAAGGGGAAGTAGGAGTTGGGGGCGGCCATGCCCATCTGGTTGTAGGACGGCTGGTTCACCCGCAGAGAGAGACCCTGTGTGTGTGAGAGAGCGAGAGAGAAGGCGGCAGCCTGGTAAGTTTCAGAGCAGAAAAAAAATACATCAAGCAGAGTGTTTTAACTAGTGGGCCCAAGATTGCTGTTTTTTCAAATCACCCTAAACTCACTGAAAAAAGGTGGAAAATAATAATCCTGGAATTTCACATGTCGGTCTAACCGCCACGCCGCAGTTTTTCCCCTCCTGAACACACGCTCTGTTACCCAGCATAAACCTGCACTACAGGCCCGATCCCAGCTTACTCATTTGTTTATCTCCTATAAACACAGCCCCCCTTCCCACCAAAGGTCACCACAACGGCCGTGGGGAGCAGATGCGCTGTGCTCCCCCCCCCCAGTGGGACACCCCGTGTTCCAGTGAGCCAGGCCAGGCTTCGGCAGGTGCGGAACGCAGCTGGGCCTGCGGTCTGGATGCCATTAGACAGCGAGAACGATGTATCCGTGGTCTGGATGGCGCTGTCTGTGAGCCAGGCGATGGAGTGTCAACCACGTCTCTTACCACATGCCCGCGCTCGCTGTCACACACACACACACACACACACACACACACACACACACACACAGGTTAGTAATTGTATCCTTGTGGGGACTCTCCAGTCATTTCTATGGGAAAAAGTCTAATCCCAACATGATGACCTTAATCCCTACCCAGCCCTAACCTTACTCATAAGTAACCAAACAAAATATGAGACTTATTACGTTTTTGGTTTTTTGATTGCAGTCACAGATCTTTGTGGGGACCTGAAGAATGGTCCCCACAACGTTAAAATAACAGGTTTTTATTGCATTGTGGGGAACATTTGGTCCCCAAAATGTAATAGACATAATCCACACACACACCTGACCCATTGGCAAAATTGTGTTTTTAAAAATAAATAAATAAATAATAACCACAATTCACAATTTAATAAGAAAAATTCATCCTCTGCACATTCTGAAGTCCTTGGGGACGGAACAGAAGCCATGAAGGTCGGATTTCGCTCTGAGCCCAGCGAAGACGACTTTACCCCGATTTTCCATTTCCTGGATTCAAAATACGACATATGCTTGTGAAGCCATTCGCCGAGCAAGTCACGGAGGGGCGGGACAAGGGGTGCTTAGCCCGCCCCTGAGGATAATGCAATCACCGCCCCCCCCCCCGGCTGGGCTCCGCCACTCGCTCTTATGATTTTTACATGAAGAATTCATCCTCTACCATTATAATCTAACGGGTCTTTTACCCTCAGTTGTCATAATACCAGAGATGATGTAGGTTGTGTACAAATGGTATTAGCGTACGTGTTTATGTATGTCTCCAGCTACGGGTCGTTTTCACTCCAATATTGGGTTCACCACGTTTAACCTTCCGAAATTAAGACTTTTTTTTTTTTTTTATATTACGGAAAAAAAAACAATGGTCAGGAAGCAAGGTTTCCTGGTTTTGGTGATCATTCAGAAAATGCGACCCAGGATTACAAAGGTCACAGCAGTAGAGAGGATCTCTAGTCAAAAATGGGGGATCGTTCTCATGCAGATTCCATGTTATAGGAAAGCGGGGGGGGGCTAAGATCACACAAGGGCAGGACGGGGGCTTGTGGCTGGACAAATAATAATCATTAAAGTGAGTTACGATGGTGCAGACTATAGGATTACACTGCCACTGAAGGATGCGAGAGACTTACACCGCACCCCGTAATTCCTTTCCAAAAACTCTATTAATTAACCGATGACATATGTTGGGGGAGAACAGCCAACCCAACCTGCCCCCACATAATCTGGAGACAATGGCAAGGAAGCCAGGCAAGGTTCACTGAGTCACTGAGCTCACGGCCCGTTGATTCCCTCCGAAAAGGGGCTTTAGAGAAAATAGAGAATTAATAAATAAAAATCTCACTTTTAAGCACTGATATACCTGGGGGAGATGATTTCATAAGCTAAACAGCAGGCTTTTTCCACCACACGAGGACCAAAGATTTCCAAGAAGCGCTTTAGACGAGGCTGAGAGCCACCTCACGCCGATCTGTCGACCATGGGGATGGTCCTCGTTTCAGGTGTGGTTCTGAAGAAACAGATGACCACCGACTGGAAAAAGGCGGATTATCTGCCAGATAACCGTGTGAAGGTTGCCTGGTTCAATCAGGCCAAAGAAGGAATCGCGTTAAGCACTGCATAATCCGATCTACATTATGGTTACTACCCAGCACCAGATGCCAGCAGTACTGTCCGACATTCATGAGGAAGACCCAAACCCCCTCAGCTATGTACACGGATCAGCCAGCAGCCGATAAAATGATCAAAAGCACTGAAGGACAGCACTGAAAAATGTTCCACGGGAAACCTACCAATAGAGATGCACAATCTGATGATTTTAAGTTGTGATCGATCCTGAAGACATCCACGATCCACTTTTCACGTGAATGGTAGAAATCATGCTGCTTTATGTGTAACATTTCTAAACTACGATGGCCAGTAATAACGCGTGTCGCTGCCTGATCCGCACCACACCTCCTCGTGCGTCACGGCAATACTCACATTGGGCCTCATGCAAGAACTACTTGTCCGAACAGATTTGTTCGTAAGTTGCTAGTACCAGTGATATAGCAGAACTTGCAGCATTCACCAATATTCTCATATTTTGAATATTCTCTTAGGTATGATCAAAATGTCCGACAGGTCTTGACCACTCATAAAAGTCATGTGCAATTAGTCTGTGGTTATTTAAACCTACAGTAGTGGCCAAAATTTACTTCCAATTTAGAGATTGCAGAAATTTATTCAACTGTTGCTCCAGTTGCTTCTTTAATCGTCCAATGTATATTGGTAAACATTTTTTGAATGTTTATAAACATTACTGCCAATATCGTGCAGCAATTTTTAAAGCGTGATGCCAAAAACGCTAGGTGTTTCCACAATCTCTCACCAATGGACTGTATTAGTCTGAAGCTATTTTGACTTTGGAAATTCATATATACAGTAACTTTCACATTCATGTGTGTGACATTCACAGTTTTGGTTATTCATGATTGCCCATGAACAATTAAGCAGGAATATTTTTGGAGCTTGCTGAAAATTTGCAGACAAGTAAGACAAAAACAATAGAGGAAATGATTTGGATCACATAAAATCATATAATATAGAAATATTAGCGTGAGTGCATCTTTAATATTAAAAGTCTTGTACGCGGTCTTTGTCACCATAGAATCTTGCGTTTCTCACAGTGACTTTTCAGTGCCATTGATTGTGTATTACGGAGTCCAAACTTTTGTGCTCCCAGGGCGTATAGTAGTAACTTTGTACTTAGCGGGGCATAATTTAGATGGTTTGTACATTATATGAAGAGGTCTTGATAGGAAACGACTAAGTAATTTAACATACAAAGGGTACAAGTACAGTACTGTTTTTTTCGGAAATTGGTAATATACATTTTATGTTATCGTTCAGGATAGCAGACTTAGGGGTTGAGGATAGAGGGGAAGTATTCGCGAATTTTCACATTGGTGGGGACGTTCTGCCCCCACCCTTGACAATGAGAAAGGATTACTGACAACATCCTGTTCGACTATACAATTCAAATCATCATATCATTCTAAATGTATTTGTATAGCCTAACAATATCATCAGTAATATTAATGGGCTATTGATGCTATTGTACAACGATGCAATATCAGGATGAGCATCTCAAACTGCAAAATGACTTGAATCAGGCTCTAATTAAAGGCCCCTTGATTCCATAGATGATGATGTGTTAAAGCAGGACTTCAGTCTCTGGACTTGCAGAGTTCTTTTTTTCCGCATTTGATGCCATTTTTGCGAATGTACACATCCTGACATGAGCCAGGACGCAACATTGTTTAATATTTAAAATAAAGTTTAATTCAGGATTTAATGACCATTTTGAGAACAGTGTCTTTAATGCAATATTGTATTTTAAATGGTGCTAATAGGCAAGTCCTTAAGCTTCTTTGAGTCTGGATATTCTTGATAGTACATTTCAAATTAGGAAGAAAGATCACAATTCAGATTGTTTTATAAAGACTAATATGATTTGCAGGAAAGATCGCCCACTCTGACACTAGGGTAACCAGATAGTCCATGTCAGAGAGGACACTTTGGTCTAGGACAGGATTTGTAAACTATCATTTCAATTAAAAGGACCTGGAAGCATCGAGTTCTTGCTGTGTGCTGATTGGTCAATCTACTATAATCATGCATGTGTCACTAATGTTAATGTGAAACAGCAGGATGAGTCTTTCAATCAAGGACACAAACCAGTAAAAGCACAAGAAGAGCTGTCCTAATTAGCCAAGTACAGGAACCTTTCGGTTTTAAAGTAGTTTGTAAAACACGAAGTACCTCATGGTGTCCTCCCTGACATGGATTATCTGGTCACTCTACCCTACGGACCAACATATTTTTCAGTATCTTGCATCTGCTTGTATCTTAGGGGGTCTGGGTTTGACCAGCTTGAAGATGCCTGGAGTTCAGCTGGCTAACGGACTTATTTAATGGCATTTTAAGCACCTTTTTTCAGGCCACATCTCACGTCCATGGTAACAAGGAACTGAAGTTTGTTCCCATTGGCCTGGTTCATCCTCCTCATGTGATCCCAGGTACGTCATGCTTGCTTTGTTGGAAGTTGTATAGCTCCTGCTCCAATACTGCTAACACCAGTGGTTCCCAATACAGTCCACAGGGACTCACAGCAGGTCCACATTTTTGCTCCCTCACAGCTCCCGGTAGAGGGAGCAAAAATGTGGGATTGGGAAACACTGGCTTACAGGTGTACCTAGGCATTTACTGAAAGCTAAGTTTAGCTGTACTTATGTCTAGTTGCCTGTTTGACAGCATTTTTGTTTGAAAAGTGCTATTTGCCATAGACTGGCTGAACAGCACCACCTCTGTCCACCCATTTTGATCCTGAGCCACTCTAAATTAAACCATGAAATGAGGTTTCCTATTTAGGAAGGGGCTTAAGATATAGTTCCTGCTAGCCTAGCGCTACGTCCGCAGGATGGACAGGGCACAAACCTTCTTCTCGGCCTCGTACTCGGCCCAGGCGGCCTTGCGGTCCTCCTCGCTCAGGGCCTCCTCCTCCTTGTGGTCCAGCAGCGAGTCGTGCTCGTGGTAGCCCACAATCTGCTCCTTGAAGCTGTGCAACAGCTCTGCCAGAAGTGGGTCCTGCGAGAGAAGTGGGGGGGGGGGACAGGTTTAAAGCCCCGCGATCAAAGCTAAAACCCTTAGACCTCAACCACAGTGGAGAAGATGGGGTGCCAGTTTGCAGTGATTCATGACACCATTGACATTTCGTTAGCACAGGTCAAAGACCCTGGAAAACAAACTCCTAGCCCCATGTTTGTTTGCTTGAATTAAATCAAATATTAAGATTAATACCATTAATACCAATATTAAGATTAATACCATACTGAATATGTGGGCAGCTGGTTAGCACCCATGCCACGCAGCTGCTTGAGCGAGCGCCCCATAGCGGACACGTTTTGAAAGGATTCAGAGGGTTTTCACGTGATTCTGGGTTTCCATGGCAACACTGTTATTGAAAACAATACCTGAGTTAAAAAAAATAAAAAATTCTCAGCCAAGCCAGTTCATGCAAACGTGGTTTAAATTACGCTACGCCCTATGTGTTTGCTTTTCTTTGTCTCGCCTTTACGTTAAATGGACTCCGCGCTCTGGAAACCGTTGCACGTTGTTCCCCTGCACCCTGCGCCTGTTTGATCTCAAGCTCCACCCACTCCCCCTCGACCCCGCCTACTTCCACTGAAGAGTGACAATGATTTCACCTCTGCAAACAAAATTAATCATAAAAGTCAAAGTCAGAGCAAAAAGAAGAAAATGAAAGAGGAAAAAAAAAGACTTGTTAGAAAATTAAGGATTGATTGCAAGCTAGCTTTGCATCAGGCTAGAATAAACAGAAAATAAACAGACGACCCAACTTGGCGAAACCAGATCCGTGGCTAGGAGGGGAGTTATGAACAGACCAGATCGGGCTCTATTTTTGGGTGGAACGAAACAAAACGAAAGATAACGTGGCCGAGACAGGTAACAATAACAGAGGCATGCTTTCCAGATGACGCCGGGGAGGTGAAATGCACTGCAGGACGACGGAACGCGCGCTCACAAGGCCTCGGCGCTAAGTGGCTCTGATGGCCGGAAAACAAAAACATGTGGCAGCAACGAGCTCAATCACGATGGCGACGGCCCACCCCCTGAGAGGGAGTCAGAAAAGCGCAGAGGAGACGTGCGCCTGGCCCAGTGCAGACATGGAGGGAGCTCGCCTCTCTCTGAGGCGCCGGGCCACACCGCTACAAGATTTCCAGAGTTGGACAGAGGGTGGGGGAGGGGTGACAGACTTTCCCGTGTGCGGTGGGAGAGGTGTGGAGACGGGTCGATGCGTGTACAGAGAAGATACGCCGTGGATGCTTGTTAGAATGTGAGCCCCGGTGGGGGGGGGGTGGGGGGCAATCTGATGATTAAGCCACTTGCTTACATCTCCCACAAACACAGGCCCTCTCTGTGCTCTCATTTCCAGCGAACCCCGAGTTAAGCCTTATCGGAACCGTGTCCAATTCCAGGGCCGTAAATGGGTCACGGAGCCTCGGGGTCAGATGGCAGCATGGCAGTCCTGGGTTTGTGGGAGGGGGGCAATGGGTGCAGAGAGATTCCTAATTAATTTCTGGGCTGAGCTCCCAGGGTGGTCCGGTCTATCTCTGAGCTGCTCAGAACACATGCGCCTCTTATGTCTGAACTAATAAGGAGCTGCTTCTCCCCCCCCCCCCATGTGGGCTGCCTGCTAACCTGCCGGGTAAGGAGACGGCCCCCTCCCCCCTTCAGAAAAACCTCTGTTGGGGGGGGGGGGGGGGGGGGGGGGGGGGGGGGGGGGGGGAGGGTGGATTCCCAACGGGAGAAATGTAAACGACCTGACCGCAGTGAGCAAGTCTCCTGGCTGGAAGCAGAAAACAGGGCAGGAGTCCAGGTTCTCATCCTAGCAACACAGTTAGGGAGCTCCAGGGGCATGAAAATGCTGGCCTGCATCGGGTCCCAGGTGAACGGCAGCCCCAGGACGGTGCTGGGCTGGGCTGCAGCACCTCACTGGGCATGGAGGCCAGCCTGCAAACACCCTGCCCCGTTCCTGGGCCCTGCACACCCTCCAGCAGCGAGTTGGCGACGTCTTAATGCTGCATAATGGTAAATTACTTAGGCCATCCAGAGTAATCAATTTCTCTTGCGTTTATCTTGAATCATACTCCTGGTGATGCATATGAAGATTCACTAGGGCAGCTGGTTGAAAACTGCTTTGGGGGGGGGGGGGTAGTCAAATTAACACAAAAGCAGAAAGGGAAATTGACAGATGCTTGAAGAGCAAACAATCTTGGAAAAACAGCCCTCCCACAAATGACGCTAAACATCACATTTACCAGAGCCTCTGTAAGGTCGTGCCTGATGCTGACCTGATTGCGGCCACCAGCTCTCCTGCCCTGTTTCGCTATGCCAACAAAGCTGGCCAGAAGCAGAAGGTGCCGTGCCAGGGGGCACTGCTCAGGGCAGGGAAAGCACTTGTCAGGCGGCAGGATTGTACTTTTGCATACATATTAATTTTCTGGAAAGATATTTTTAATGGCTATAGGTTGTAATGACAATTTTTGCTATTCCCAAAGCATGCTAGTGTGCTAAACATTAAAAACTGGCCCTTCTAAGCAGTACGACCCCACTTCTAACAGGGATGTCATTTCTAATTTTTCATCTTTAGTCAACGATTCAGAGTACAAAATGCTGAAGTGTTACATCATTAAAAAGGGATGCCGGTGTGTTAGCTGCCGCAAATCCCCAGAGGAGCAGCCCTGTCTGAGAAGCATGGGAGGGGGCAGTGGTGATATTTGTAATACCAAACCTCGGTCTGTCAATGCCGAGCTCCCAGCTAAAGGCGAGTGGCATGCAGCTTGGTGTAAACACCGGTGTAGGTCCGCCACTTCCGACTGGGCTGCACGCCCAATAGTGCGTCTCCTAGCCTCTGATGGCGGCCGCCCGATTTGGAGCACCGCGGAGTCCGAACGGGCCTCACTGTATTCCCGGGAAGGTGCTAGATCTTCCTCAGAGCCGTTATAGCCCTGCATTTAGGGAACCGGGCTGTTTTCGGAATGAAGCGCGGACCAAACTCAACATCTGAGCTGGCTCATTAGAAGCAAATTCCTGTACCTAATTAAAAACACGGAGGCCTGCCCCGCTGCGCAGGATGAGCCCCGGAGGGCAGAATAACGGTAGCAAATGACCCCTTTTCCCACCTGCGACCTGCTGTGATAGGTTCAGCATTATCCCCCCCCCCCATTCTATCCGGGCAGCGGTTCTGACTCATCAGCAGGACCAGACCTGCAGCATAGCTCAACCACCCCCCCATCCGACACTGGTTACTCAAAGCTCCCCAGGCAGAATCGGACTGCAGTGTGGGCGGCTCTCATGCCGCCCTCCGGTGTTCCCCTTTGTCATTACAGAACAACAGATTTCCTTTGTCTCCAATTAGTTCCTCTGAAGATTATAAAGACATTTTTTGTAGGGGTTGGAGGTCGGGGCAGGGGGATGATAAATTAGATGCCTGTTTTGAAGCTTCAGAGACCTGCTCAAATGAGGGTGAGACACTTTTTTTTCCTTTTAAACGATAGCAGGCTAAGTTTGGGTTAAAGATGGGGGAGATGTGGCCAGTCCGAAAGATAACCTCAAACACTCGGGGTGGATATGACTGGGCCGCAACTCCTGGATTGTCTTCCTCAGAGAGGCATTTCAGCCTCTCTGAGGAAGAGGAGACAGAGCCTCTCCATGACGACACGATCCCATTACATGCAGACACTGGCCGGCACACTTCGAAGGGAAACCTTCATTCTTCCCACTTAATCCGAGGAACTGCCTTCTGACCTCTTGTCAAACTTTAAACATTAACTACCAGGATCTCTGAACACCACCCTTTAAGGGAAAAAAAAAATCATATTTCCTGATCAATCAACTTATTTGACATTAATTCATGACTCAGAGGTGTCTGATGGGAAGGCACACAGTTATTAACCTCACACCTGCCCCTCTAGACATAGGACAGCATCACCCAGACCCTCTAATGTGTCCAAAAATACAGTCAGACACATGCGTGCAACATGGGTGGCTATGAGTAACTCCATACCAGATCCTTAGCCATGTCTTCTGAATTTATCCATTACAGAAAAATGCAGACTTTTTTGGCCACGCTACTGGAGAGCAACTTCAAACGAGCGGGTGCCCTTTGCAAGTTAGGACTGCCTTGCATTTATAAGACATTCGGGCCCAGCTCTATGGTGGGACCGTGTATTAAAAAAAACGATGAGCACATCTCGCGGACCGAAACGTCCGTAATCAGCCGCTCCGCAGTGTTCAAAGTAAAGGCCGTGACTTGTGATTATCCGCTCGCGACTTCAGAGGTATGTCTAACGACTACCCCGGTGGTATTTGACGTCCCGGAATCGCTCACATAAATGAAGTCAAAACAGAGTCGCGCAGCTGTTCCCCCAGCAGCAGCTGCGGAGCAGAAGACCCTGCAGGCAGGACGCTCCGCCTGAGAGCCTGGGCACTGCTGGACGCCACGTCTAGGGCTCTCGTGCCATGTTCTTTTAAGACCTACCTGATCTGCGCCAGCACTAATCACAACAGCTACTCATGCTACCCAGACATCAGGTGAACAAGAGTTTGGGGCATGAAATGTCACCATGATATGTTTTGTAGATCTTTGATTTCTTTTTTCTTTCAGATTTCCAACCATAAAATGTGAATTTTTGACAAATATTAATGAGGAAGACACACAACTGCTCAACCCCACTCCTTACTAGAAACTATGTTTTTGAAAAGGCATTAAGGAATGTTACTAATTGAACAATTAAGTACACATAAGGTTATTTGTCCCTATCGTCAAGTCAACTTCCGTCTGTATGACAAACAGAAGTATCTAGGAGGAGGAGAAATCCAATCTTGAAACAAAGATATTAATGCATAAGTGACATTATGAGCTCTTCCAGTCAAGGAGGAATGTTCTGGAAATAGCACTCAGCTTTGTCTGGTCAGCCTCGTGATTTAACACAAGTTTATGATCTCAGAGGGGGTGACTGCAGGCTCCAGAGACCATAAGCTTGCTTAATTTCTGCCCTATTCCTACCTCAACACACAAACACCATACCTATGTTTACTAGGCCCTGGAGGGTTTGACACTATCATCCACAATTGACCCATTGCACAAATGAGTTGGGGCTTCCTTCTGGGTCCATATGTTTTAAGGGTCACCAGGTTAAGGAAAGGATACCCAAATGGCAACAATTTTTATGATCACGTTGGTCGGGGGTCGGTAACAGCTTGAGAGGGCCCACTATATCTGCAGGAAGGGTTAGCTGCTTTGAGTCTGAGTTGATGCCATGATCATAAACAAGAAAGTCAAATCGGGGTCAAAGGGCAATCGCTCAAAGCTAAAAGCTCCACAGGTAGAACCTCCACCTAGTGCAGCAAAGAACGTGGGTTGTATAGAGAACACATATTTCTCGACAAAAAATACGACGTGAAGCTCATGATGTTCATGAGGTCACACCAAATGAAGCCAGATAAGAATATCGCACCATAATTCCTGAAAGGTCACCTAGAGTGACATCCTGTGGAAAAACACATGATTATACATCTGAGGTAAGAACCGTTAAAAGCAAGAGACCCATCTCCCCCCCCCCACAACATACCGCTGAACAACACTGTCAGCTCGTAAAACCCCAGGACCTCTCTCCTCAGCATTGGCGCACCTGCACCCTCCGAAAATAAACGAGGCTGCGCTGCTCACGAAAGCAGCTGCACATCATCTCCGGATGTGGGTGTGCAGACCCTTAGTGCCAGAGATAAGCAGAGATTGACCCCCGGATTTGTTCTGGGGGGGGGTGGGTAGGCTGGACGTCAACTGAGGCCAACGTTATAGTCCTCTTTGTCAGGCAACACCAGTGGTAAACTTGATGGAACGATTAACAACAATTTCCGGCATATCCTCTTTAAATCCCGCTGTGAGCTCACGCCTAACCTTAGGCAGCATGGGCGTGGCCCGTTTGCTCTTCTTCTCCGAGTTGGGCTCATCCAACTGGTCGGGCTCGAACGTGTAGAGCTCCGTCAGCTCGTTCATGGTAAAGTGGCGCTCGATCTGCTGCCGGTCCACCACTCGGAAGGACAGCGACTGTTTGGTCACCTGCCGGTCGTAGATCTTCTCCTCCATGGTTCCCTGCGGAGAAACGCCCATCACACAATCGGTGTGGGGGAGGGTCAGTTCTCGGGAAATGCTGTCAACTACATGCCCCCCCCCAAATAAACTAAATTCTCAGAATCGCATTTTGGTTTATGCGTTCCCGTGAATAAGCCATACACCAAATGCATCGTGGGAGACTAAGTCGGTATTTACCTGCGCCAAGAACCGGTACACGAACACAGGCTTCAGCTGGCCGAACCGGTACACCCTGAAGATACTCTGAATGTCGTAGGAGGGGTTCCACGAGGCGTCGAAAATAATGACCCTGTTAGCAGCTACTAGGTTGATTCCGAGAGACCCAGCTCTCGTGGAGATGAGAAATAAACGACCCCTGGTGAAGCAAGACAAAATAAATAAAAAAACGCAAGTTATTCCAAGGAATAACATTCTTCCAATAAATGCCTCTTCCGAAATGTAACATCTGGTGGACATAAGCGACCAAATGAGGATATGAAGTTGATCAGTTGTAACCCTGGGTAGCTACCCGGGACCAGACGGACGACTTGTCGTTAGGTACGACCACAAATCTGCATAAGGAGCGCTTCCTATCGCCTGTGGCCTTTTAACACAGAAAACGCTTTTCAGCCACACGTAGGAGGCTCTCATCGGACTTTCTGGTCGGGGGGGTGCGACTCAATAGCAGTCTGATCACAAACAGGCAGTTTTACCGTATGTTGCTGGTGTCATTGAAGTCTTCGGCCCACTTTTTCCTGGTCGTAGCGGCAGTGGACCCGTCCAGGCGGTAGTAGTCGATGTTTCGGAACCACTTCCCATCTCCTGCGAGAGTGAGGTGGGGAGAGGAAAAAAATAAATAAATATTTTTTTAAAACCCCATCATTTGCAGCTGGTAGGGGTTCCGCAAAGGGCAGCATCAAAGCAGGAGATGCTCACAAATCGATGCCGCATGACAAAAAGATGAGAAAAGGGGGCCTGTGGATTTGTGCCTGGGGCAGCAGGACACTCAGAGACCCAAGTGAAAAATTGTGTTCAGGTAT